AAGGTTTAAAAAACTGCAAGAAACTCCATCTCTTCTTTCCCCATTCTGGCATTTCGTTGTCTCTTTTAAGAAGATTGAAACTATGTGACCTTCCTTAATGAGGCATTTCAGATGAGCCCCCAGTCATGTGCTTTTGCTTACAAGTCACTGGCAAATAACGCAAGGGCGGTTTGGTTTTGCAAGCCCAGTGCCCGTCCAGCTCCTGGTGCCCTTAGAGTCAAGCCTCGCTGGCTGCAGTCCTGGTTCATTGCCAGCTGCGCTACACGCTGGTGTAGGTATTTCCTTTCAATAAAATAAAATGAGTTATCCATTTTGTTTAATTGGTCACTGTACCTGAATACTAACTGGTCTTGAAAAGAAGCTAACCCCTTTTAGTGACGCAGCTAAATATGTCTGTTTTGTCTCCTGACTTAAGTAAATGCAGCTTCAGATTTCAGCCAGTTTGTGCTCTCATATTTAAGTAGCGTATGTGAATTAGGCCACAGCCTTCATATTCACTTTGTGAGTGTGAATGTGACCGTACTGAAACAGCAAATGAGCTTTAAATCCTGCCTGGTTTATTGCCTTTACTTTAGGTATGAAACTCATCTCGATCTCCGTATTCCTGGCAATACTACTTTTTTTTTTTTTTTTTTTAATAAGACTAGCATACATGAGGGGAGGGATGGATGGAAAGCAGGTAGGAGGTCCATGAGCAGTTACGCCACAATAGTGTTAATATGGCTCTGCATTGTGGGAAAGCAGAATTGTGGCCATCCCCTTGGACATTTGCGTACTGCAGGAATTGACAAATGTTTCCTGGATCTTTGAAAATTCAGATGAAAAATTCTTGTTCCTGTTTTTATATTTCCTGATTCGTGGGTAGCATTTCTCATCTGGGAATGTGGCTTTCCGAGAAGGGGTGGCTTTGGAGGCCCAGCCAGCACGTGCATACGGGGCTCTGGAGTCCCTCCACTGTCCTGCTGGCTGATGGGGGTCCAGGGGTCCAGGCCTCCTGGGGGAGCCGTGCAGAGTTTTACAAGGCTCCACTTGTGACTCAGAGGATACTCTTGGACAGAGAATAAAATGAGTCTGAAAAATCACCAAAATGGCTCCACTCTGTCGAAGAAGGAAGGGAGGGGGCACAAGTGAATTCCTTTCACCTTCCTATTTACCAGAAAGTGCATGGTCTGTCCTACAAGCAACTGGTTACTTAAAGCTACCGTATAGGTGTAGCTTAGTATATTCTTATATGAAATCAAACAGGAGGAATTGTGTACTCACTTTACTATATTGCCATTCATATGAAATCCTTAAGTTAAGAACAACTGTATGGTTTGGTTTGTATGCCTCTAGGCTCTGTGAGGAAAGGAGTAATTTTTGAAGCTCTCCTCTAATTCCAGAGCAGCTACAGCACAGCTAGTAGCGATGCATGTTTCCTAAAGCCACAGTAAATGCAACACCTGACTGACTGTTGCTGACTAACAATTGTAGCTTTCTCAAAGTAGTTCGTATCGAGTTTAAGACATGCATTGCTAAGTGAAGTCCTTCCAAAAGAGCTCATGATTCTAATACAGTCCGAAAGTGGAAGAATCACCAGTAAAGAAACTTAATTTAAGATCACCGTTTTCCTTACCCTTCCCAAAGATGTTAGAGATATTCTAGAATGAGGGATCGTAAACAATAGCCAGCCTTTTTCCTTGGAGGAACTTAATTGGGTCCATGTTGAGCTCTGGGCCAGAAGAATTCCTTGCTATCTGGATTGGCTTTTGTTCCAAAGGGGTTTTAAACCTGGCTTGGAGATCTGAGAGCTCCGAGTGTCCTTTCAGTCCTCTCTTGAGGAACGTGGCAGTGCTGACCCTCCTGCCTTTGCAGCTGGCATTGTGGGAAGAGAACATTGAATTGTTCAGTGCACATTTTGGTTTAGACTAAGGTCTTCCAAGTCATCTTAGATGAGCAGGTTTGAGTCACAGGATCATTCTTCTAAAAAGCAAATAACTGATCTGGATGAGCAACAGACTGAGTTGAGATCTAATGGGCAGATTTTCCTGGAATCCAAAGGGGAAGCATCTTACTCCCTCATTTGGAGAGTCATTTTTGACTTCATGTTGTTTAAGTTTCACGGGAGTTGAAAAACAAAGCAGTTGTACTGATTAGTCCTCCAAGGGCAATTCAAGATGCCATTAAGCTGTTTTTTACTATATTTTGGGCAAAGAATGTCTCCACTTTAAACAGGCAAAGGTCACAAAGTTTGCAGCAGAGATTTGGATTTGGGTTCAGCCTGCTCCACGCTCACTGAAAACAGCGACTGCTGCAAGGTTCAAGATCTCATTTGGTCCCAGGTGACCGTGAGCACTGGGAACTGAACAGATTTGGTAGAACAGCCCGTGCAAGTAGTAGGGCACAGCAGGAACAGATCTTTAAAGCTAAACCTTTGGTGCTGAAAACCCAGTATTCACACTCAATATGTTCAAGATTAGTTTGTAGTTCAGACTAGTTTTAGTCTGGTTCTGTAGGCTGCATGTGAGTGGTCAGAGCACAGCGTGCGCGCTCCTCTGAGAGTCCGCAACTTCTGTCGATTTAGTTTCATCCAGAGGGGAACCCAGTTCGTATGCTCCAAGACTGCTCTGCATGGCAAACCCAAGTGTGGTAAGTGGGGTTTACTGGGAGATTGGATTTGGAAGCGTACTACTGATCCAGACTAAAATGCAAAATAGAAACACCTGTGATTTGCCATGGAAAGTTTACCACATGATAAATTGCTGTTACAAGTTGTTTTTCTCTAATTCAGATGGGTCTCCTCATTTGACCATCATGAGGAGGTACCTTGCTATTTGCTAACCTTTCAGAAGTCCATGTTCTGCAGAGTCCATGGGAGGGTGAAAATTAAGTTACTTATCAGTGACTGGATTTTTTTCCTAGATGAGTCTCTGTGTATTTGTCTTCCCCTACACCTTCAAGTCCTGGCAGGCAGAACTTTGCCTCTCAGTAGGTATCCCAAGAAACAGTTGTTGCCAGGAATGGTTGGCAACCTGGGTAAACATGCCTGGGATGTCAATGTAATGTCACTACCTTTAAGAACTAAAGCCATTAGTAATCGCACTGCTTGACAGTTTTGCCATTAATGGCAGAAAAGAGGCACTTCTGCACGTAGGTGAACCGTTGTGCCCGCAAAAAGCAGAGGAGTCTTAACAGTGTTACTTTATCTGCTTGCATGTTATGCAGAGGCTAGCTCTGCAGGGATTTCTGCTGGCAAGAAGTGTCGTCCAGTGGTTATTATGAAACCAGTGGCCTGAATTTCGGGGGTTTTGTTAATGATTATATTTCTAAGAATGCCTGTCAGAACCAACACTGTATGCAGTGGCTGATGCATGGATGCAAAACAGATGAGGTTCTGCCTCAGGATGATTTTCTTTTTTTTCTCTCGAATTTGCTGTTACGTTGTGATCTTGAATGAGTCACTGAGACGAGTGCAATTGATGGTACATCTAATTCTGGATTAATGCACAGACAGATTTATAGAGGTGCTGGACGCCAGGCGGTCTGAGGCAGCTAATGAGTGCTGGGTTCCTGATTGACTCCTAGTAGCATCCAGAGCTATTTTATACACGTTAATACTGGCCTTCTGCTTTTTGTGACTCGGTTTCCACATTTGTTACATAATTGAACTTATTCTCCCCTGCCTCACAAAGTGTCTAGTGCTTTATATGTGAAAAACGCTCTATAAACACTGTATCTGTTTATGTATTTTTCTTCAACAAATGAATGTCTTCATTGTGCAGTGAGAAGCTGCTGAAATCATTTATTGCTTCAATCTCAGGCATTTAACATCCTGCCTGCAGCAGGCCTATTTTAAAAAATTTTATAAGACAGAACAAAGTAATAAGGTTGGATTCCTGTAAGAGTCTCATTTAGCAGAGAATATAAGACTAACTTAAAGACTTAGAAGGGAGATGTCCTTTGACCACTCGCTATTTAAATAAAATATTGACAATGAGATTATCAGATTCTTCTCTTAATGTATTTATAAATATTTGGATCTGTCATAGTTCTTAAGAAATATTATGCCATTGTGTCTTCCCTTTGCCACAGAGCTAGAAGGTTATTAAAATGAAAAACTGCCTTTTAGCCTGTAGTGTCTTGATCGGGAAGATTATTTGTGCATATTTTCCTTGATATGTGAGCTGGTGTATATTATATAAAGTACTGTAACTGTGGTGGTGATTCTCGTGTTTTGTTGCTTTGCTACAACTTTTTCATTCCCTTCAAGCTTCACAGATAAATTTATATTGTCTCTGACAGCTTAAAATGTTATATCCTTATTAACCTTTAAATTTACGCTTTAAACTGGCCTGGTGGGATTGCATATGGAATGATTTAGATGACGCTTGAGAAAATTTTCTTATCCAATAACAAGTTTGAATAGTTATTCTATATTCATTATCAGATTGCGTTACTGCAAGGAAAGTTGTTAAGGTATCACTTATAGTGTTGCTGGAGAGTAGGAAATTATAATGTTAATGCTCATTAGTTGAGTTTTGGAAGAAGAAATGGAAAATAATTGTTTTTCTACCTTCCACAGTATATTGAAATCCATGGAGTTTGCACCATCTGAAAGCTCTGGTGCACAGGTACTGAATCTACTTTTGTTTTCTTAATTATTTCAGCAGTCCAGTTAAATAACAGAATTTTTATGTTACAATTCATTTGTGTAAGCATGGACAGTTTCCTGTCGTTCTGTAAACGGTGAGCTCCTGCATGTCCCTCAGATATTGAGATATATGGGATGGATCATTTTCCTGATTTTCCTATGTAAAAAGGTGAACTGAACATTTTTTGCCTGTTAATTTCTTTTAAGTGATCAAGGACAAAGAATGGCATTTCAGCTGGTGTTTGAGTGGATAACCATCATGTTGTGAAGTTGAATCTTTTAAAGATACTAGAGTTGGTATACAGCTGTGCAGAAATGTGCATGCTTCTTAAACTGATAGTACCCTGAGCAAGGATTTTAACATTTTGAAATCTTTGTTAGCCTTGATTATAATGTTCATGAAAGAAAACAAACAAACCTCTGAGTACTGAGGAGTGAAAACCTCTGGTATTCCAGCAAGTTAATCTTACTTAAGATCGAAGGTTGTGAATTAAATTCCTGCTTCTGAAATGTGAACTGAATATCAATATACCAGGATTAACTTTCAATGTGCTTTTTAATGACCAGGGGTTAGATATTTAGTGAAAGGTAAATGGCAGATTTCTGTGCCACTGATTTTATTTTTCAAAAAACTGTTTACACTGAAACACAGCATTTCAAGGAAATGCTTAACTTTGGTCTGTTGATGTAGAAGAAATAATATAATCTTAACTCCTATTTTAATCAGATTAAAAGAAGTCTGCAGCTTTTAGCTTGAAAGCATGCCAGTACCATTTTAAAATAAGTAGGATTAAGAAAATGTTCCATTACACATCTCAAAATAATGCAAAATTGATGAATGATTTACAGTGAAAATTAAACAGTATGTGTGTGCTATAGCTCATGGAGGAACATTGAGTGAGTCCTCCAAATATATGTACGATGAATTCCCCAGCCACGTTCATAGCAAAGATGAGCACTTTTTCCCCCTCTTCTGAAGTTCTTTTTAGTGACTGAGTCTCTTAACACTTTTGGAAACAAACCTCCCACTTTGATTTTCTTTAGGATGCATCTAAACCCCTGGAGGTGCTGCTGCTGGAGAAGAACCGCTCATTGCAGTCTGAGAATGCCACGCTGCGTATCACTAATAGTGACCTGAGTGGTAGGTTGATACGATTTTCAGCTATTATAGTTTGTTTGATATCTCGTGGAGGGAGGGAGGGTTGAGTGAGAGATGAGAGTCTGAGCTAATGCATGGCAGAAAGACTAACAGGCGACAAGAACACTGAATAAGGTTTGATTTCTGCTGTTTTATAGACTGGGTAGTAAAATAAAACTTGGAGACCTCAGAGACTCTTTAAAGGTTAGCAAAGAGAGGCATTACGAGATGTACCAAGCGGGAGCATTTCAGGCTGTCTTCTGTTTTGGGAACAAATTCATCTGTGGCACCAGAAGTCTCTTCCCCCACACACAATGTTATGCAAAATGTTTGCATGTAGAACACAATAATCTTCCTGTTTGATATACTTAGATATACTACCAGCAGGTCAGTTTGGAAAAACAAAATACTTTCTTTTTAGCGGAGTGTGTTTGCCGTTTAGTTTTCCTAATGTGGGCTTCTTACATTTTGCGTGCACATTTTTTAAATGGCAAGTCATGGAATTTCCAGATACTTTAATGCTTATGGTTTTTGCAGCTGGAAGAAAGTTAAAAGTTGCCACTGGCACTGGGATTACTGAATTCAGAAGTGTTTATGACTTTAAACTGAGTGATCTTGGTGCATCCACCTAATGGTGATTTCTTTAATCAAATTGGTTTGTTCCAAAATGTAAATGTTTGCTGCATTTGGGTTCAGTCAGGTCCAATGAGTAATGTCTTGAATGAGAGACATCAAAGAGACTTGCTGTCTGTAACTGAATTTATATTAAATGTATGACTGCACTTCATGTAATTGTTCTAGTTTTAATGTTTGTAAGGGGGATTCTCCAGGCTGCAACATACAAGAAAGGTGCAAACATGAAATGCATGTTGTTTGTTTTGGGGGCCTTGTTTGGCTTATGAAAATTTCAATTATTAAAAAACAAAACAAAACAAAACAAAAACAAAAAACAAAAACAAAAAAAAACCCACAAAAGTCCCACCGCCGCCTCATTGGCCCTTGTAAATCTGCACTTTTTTCCCTTTGCGGGGCAAACTTTGCATTTTTTTATCTTGGTTTTTCCCTCTTTAATCCCCCATAATGCATTATGTTTGACCTTCCTTGTAGGGTCAGCCAGGAGAAAAGGGAAAGACCAGCCTGAGAGTCAGCGTCCTGCAACCTTGCCGGCCTCCCCTCCTTCTCAGTTGCTCCGCAACGCGGGGGAGCAGGCTTCCAATACTAATGGTACACACCAGTTCTCACCAACGGGTTTAAGTCAAGACTTTTTCAGCTCATCCCTGGCAAGCCCCAGCTTACCCCTGGCCTCCACAGGAAAATTTGCACTAAACTCTCTCCTCCAGCGACAGCTAATGCAGTCCTTCTACTCCAAGGCAATGCAGGAAGCAGGAAGCACAAGCATGATTTTTTCAACAGGTCCTTACAGCACAAACTCCATATCTTCCCAAAGTCCATTACAACAAAGTCCGGATGTAAATGGCATGGCCCCGTCTCCCAGCCAGTCAGAAAGTGCTGGGAGCATCTCTGAAGGCGAGGAGATAGACACGGCTGAAATTGCACGTCAGGTGAAAGAGCAGTTGATCAAGCACAATATTGGACAGCGGATATTTGGACATTATGTGTTGGGACTGTCTCAAGGGTCTGTGAGTGAGATACTAGCCCGGCCAAAGCCATGGAATAAACTGACTGTGAGAGGCAAGGAGCCATTTCATAAGATGAAGCAGTTCCTCTCGGACGAGCAGAACATCTTGGCTCTTCGCAGCATCCAGGGTAGACAAAGAGGTAAGCGCTTGCTGGCTAAGGGGGTTGCCCGTTTTTCCTGTTAGTTACAAATGTAAAAAACAGTCCGAGTGTCTGTATACGAGGCCGTTCACACGTTGCTGTTGCTTTCACCTCAATCAGACGTAAATGTGCAGAAAGTGCAGTTTTCTAAGTCTAATTTTCAGGACTGATACAGGTTAGTATGTTTGTTTGCTTATGCTTTCTTTAGCCACTTGTATTTATCAGGCAGGTAAAGCAACAGGGATCCTAAGTCTCTTGCTTCAAAATAGCTGTGTGTTAGAGCTAAATACAGAGCGAAAAGGGTCAGTAGCTACTAACAGTATCAGCCCTCCAAATTACTTGAAAATTTTTATTTGGGATTGTTTACTGAGAACAGACTTTTGTTATGACTTGTGCAATTTTTCCAAAGTGTTTTGACAAAATAGCGTAGGTGATGCATGAGATGACTAATTAAGAAAAAATCCTAATTTAAAGCAGCTTTGCATATTTTAAGTCAATGATTTTAAAAAATAACATATGCATTTCATTGTGATTCATCTTAAACAACGACTGAGATTTACATTTAGAGAAACTGAAAAGTAAGTTGTTTACAGTCGAGAAATATTGGAAAGGACAGGCAGGATTTTCCTAGATTTTGTTTAATTGAAAGCGAACACTGTTAGATTTATAATCTGTTCTTCCTTTTGATGATTGCACTTGAGGGGATTATCTGCCCATCTTTAACCTCTTCATTTTTGGTATCTCTAGGCATTTATTTATATCTGTCTAATCTCCTTTCCGAACGTAGCTGTAATCTTTATTAACAAATCAGCCAGCCTTGCTTCTTCCAAAGTAGCCAGCTCCTCCAGCGCTCAGACAAAGACTCGAGGGTTTGAGGCGAGCTCCAGCGCTCGCGTTTAGGGACACGCTGCTATCTTTTCATGTCGCACAGCCCATGATGTCAGAGCAACCATCCCCTGATTGTTTTGTTCTTACCAAACTTGTTTTTCAACAGAGAATCCAGGCCAGAACCTGAACAGACTATTTCAGGAAGTACCGAAACGAAGAAATGGGTCTGAAGGTACGTCACAGGCAGGTGTTTTTCTTTGCAGTCGATATCTAGGAAGTGGAGTGTGCTTTAGCTGTGTGTTTCCTTAAAACTGTGCAGTTTGATTCTGGCCTGGAATCTGATAGAAAAACAGACAGTAAGTATAAAACAAACCATGGGTTAGAAGAACACTTTGCTTTTTCTAATTCCACTGCCGCTGTACTAACTTAACCCTGTTTGGATACTTTTTCCACTCGCAACCTCAGTATGTACGCAGATAAAAAGAGAGAAGTGGTAGAAGTGGCTTTATAAAATCTCTACCAGCAAATCTGCTGACATGCTATCTTTACTATTTTTGTGATTCTAGAGCAAGAAAGGTGCACAATTCTGTATAATGCCAACATAAATAGCATACTGCTTCTGCTGTACATTATCCGTCTTTCTCCTCATGGGGCTTATGTTGACAAATACACTTTAAGATGCTGTTAAATTAGTGTGATACTTGCTTCCGTATGGTATATGAAACAGTCTGAATAAGCAATAAGTGAACGTTAGATCAGTAAAGTATCACTGACCAAGAGCTTTGGACCTTTTTCTTCATTATAGATTAGTTGCAGAATTTTTCTCTTAGCAAGACAAGAAGAAAAAACAAAGAAGTACCCAAAAATCTGCAGTTACTTTGATTCCAGTCAGAAGTCATCCAGATCACTTACAAATGATAATTACATAATGCACAGTGCATTTAAGTGTAAGAGGTTTCAAAATCCTAGGAATTTTCCCTCCTTTTTTCCCCCTTAGTGGTAAAAAATAAGAAATCGCTATCAGCTGGAGAGCACTTCAAATGGTATCAGTGCTTAAACGAACGTTTCTCTTAGTGTATTAACCTCTAGAAAAGTAAAAATTATTTTTAATTTCCTATGCCTAGTTATTTTTTTTAATCTGTTTTGGGCTGAATATATACTCAACCTAGTTTGCCTAGAAGCTAATGCAATTTTGAAGGATGATTCCTCATCTTAGCTTTCTTCTTTTCCCCTCCAATTCTTAACCCTTCTGTTTCCTCTCCTCCAAAATAAAAAATAAAAGGAAAAACTAGACATATATGTGTTTTACTGGAAGGCGACTATATCACCACGTAGTTAGTTCTTGTACTGATAATGTGAGTGTTTTCAGCATTCCAGCGCAGCTAGTGAACAGGCTTTCGTGCAAAGAGGATCTTTTTCCTTTATTATGTGAATTACTTTCTCGGTGTCGGTAAATGTCCTACGCAAACTATTGTCAGGCATTGCTGGCAGTATATCAGTGTGTGTTGTTTTTGCATTAAAACAGAACAAAACAGAAGGAAAAAAAAAACAATAAAAGTTTTCCTGGTGTCATTAGTTTTGTTTTCCTCCTCAGGTAATATAACCACAAGGATCCGAACCACAGAGACGGGCTCTGATGAAGCCATCAAATCCATTCTCGAACAAGCCAAAAGGGAGCTGCAAGTACAGAAAACAGGTACGGCCTCATTTTGCCTCCTGTTCCTTTTACTGCAGAATTTAATTAAAACAATTATCATGAGCTTTCTGGTCAGTTAATTATATTCTTGCAACCTTGAGTGTAGGTTTGGAAGAGCTTTTTTTTAAGTGGAGTTGTTTCTGTCTGTAACACGGCCCGAGTTAAGTTTACGCGTTTCAGTTTTTGACGGAGTCTTTGCTCCGTGCCCTGCTCAGTCTCGCCTCGGTCCTGGGGGGTGAAGCGGAGCTCTCTGAGCGCCCTTCCCAAAGCGCAGAGCTCTCCCGTCTTTACACGGCCGCTGGCAGCCGCGCCGCAGCGTGCCTCTGCCAGAGGGCGAGCGGCTCCCGCTTTCCCTTCTCTCCGATCGCCTTCGGGCCCCGGGGCCAGCGGCGTGGGAGAGGGAGCCGAACGGATTCGTCTCCTTCGTGGCCGTCTGAAGGTCGCGATGGAGCCAGCAATTATCAGTAATATATTACCAGCTCGCTCCGTACATCATGTACTGGAGTTATAATGCAGTCCTGCTCCGTGCTAGCTTTTGCCTGACTGTATTTTTGGTTATGGAATGGAAGGAAATCATTTTTTTGCAGTGAATGGGCAGGCAAATCCAAAAAGCGTTTCCCTTCTGAAAAACATCATAAATGTTTAACAGCTTGGCCTGAGATAAGTTTAATTTCCTATTTTATGCTGTCAGGTAGTTAACATTTCTGTCTGCTCCGTAGCCCGCACAACTTTAGAGCAGTTTCCAATACTGCTAAGGAGCTAGTGCTGAAGTAGAAAGTCCTTTGCATTACTTTTGTTTTGTTTTTTTTTAAGTAAATGTTTATTTACAGTTTTGGGTAGTCATCTTTGAAATGAAAACCAAGCTAATCTCCTGGCAACCTATAAAACATTAGTCCATGTATGATTTAAATAAATAATATGACTTTATACAAGTAACAATTACATGCAGAAAAATGTAGGCTTTGTACAGGAAAATGCAAACAGGTTGTTCAGCAGCATATTTCACCTGAGAATCTCAGTCATTTTTTTCTTTGAAATATTAATTCAGCCTCAACCCCTCCATGAGAGCAGTAGATAAAACAGAAGAGATGGTCCCACTGGCAGTTTTTTCCAATTTTTTAGTTTTTCATCTATTTTTATAGTGTGTGACAGGGAGGAGAGTGGGGAGGCAAATTTGGAGATGTATTCAGATGAAGCATGATATTGCTGGAATAACATGCAGGGTATTTGAAACCCGGTTTCACTGTGAGGCTGCTTCTTACAGTACGTGAGTCCCAGACTGTTATCTAGTGCTTCACTTTTCCCATTCCTCATCGAGTAGCTCTCAGAGGAATTGGTTTTCAAGCACTGGAGACCTCAGTGGAGACGAGCATAAATCGAAACAAGCCGTGCTGCCAAATCTTCCGACCCTGCAGAGATAATTCTACACCCACGTCTCAGTCTTCGCTCATCCACTAACTGTTGGAAAGCAGCCCTGCAAACCGAAGTCACCCATGAAATACTTGAGTTAGGTGTTATCTCTTCTGGAAGGGCCCGTGGCTCCACTCTGGGACTTTCTCTTGATAGGGCCAAGAGAGGCAGCCAGGCGTCAACCTGATTTTTGTCAAGCTGTTTAGTTCAGTGATGAGGATCATGGAACGAGAAAACAGGAAGCAGGAGCAGCTTTAGTTTGTCAAGTTAAATAATGAAGTCTTTAGTAAAGTTCTTCATTTGTTGTAATTTATGTATTATGTTATTTCTGTATCTTTGGAGTTAAAAGGATTCACCGTATTTATACTGTAGAAGGGTACTGATTGTCTGTCCAGGTGGATATAGCTGTATTTAGTTTTGAGCGCGTGTTATGATTTGTTTGTGGAGACGGGCAGAAGTGAAAGGTTAAGTAACTTTGTAAACAGAACCATAAAAAGCGATTGAGCTCTTGAGGGTGGGGGAGGAGGAGATGAAGGCTTGATTTTTCAAAGGCATTTATTTGAAAATTATTACCACGGTGGAAAATATGCAAGCAGTGATAGACTGCTGCAGTTGAGTGTGCGTGAGCGAATGTCTAGCCCTTTGGCCACTGTAAAAATTTCCCAGTGCAGAACTTTTTAAGTCCTACCTTATTTTGAGGAACAAAAATCTTTGATTAGTGAAAACCCCTCCATCCCATTCGAAGTGTGTTGCAGCCCCTTTTCTTACGGGGAAATGTTTACAGTATCGCTTGTTGAATATAAAGCATATTCCTGTGTTGCATTTAGTCTTTTGGTTGTTTTTCATAGCTGAGCCGGCTCAGCCGCCTTCTGCATCTAGCAGTGGCAATTCTGATGATGCTATTCGATCCATTCTGCAACAAGCCCGACGCGAAATGGAGGCACAGCAGGCTGCCCTTGAACCTGCCTTAAAAACACCACCTTTATCTCAAGCTGACATTTCTATCCTGTCCCCCAAACTAGTATCTACGCCCGCAATGTCTTCGGTTTCCAGCTTTTCTCCTTTGGCCATGTCCCTGAAGAAACATTCATCTGTCACTGATTCCAGTATCTCTGCATTGCAGAACCTCTCTGGGCTCAAAAAGGAGCCTCAGGAGGCACCTGGTTTAGAGCTTCATGGGATAAGTGATTCTGCCCAGGGTATGTTGAGACATGTTAAAAATGAGTTGGGACGTGGTGGTGTTTGGAAGGACCATTGGTGGAATACTGTTCAGCATGAGAGAAGAAACACGGCTCTTCCCGAAGACACAAAAGTTGAGGAAGCCAGTGTTGGAAAAGAAAAGGTCAGCAATCAGACTAGGCCAGATCGTAGCCAGCTTCAAGGACCATCTTATTCAGAGTATTGGCATTGAGCATGACTGGGGCAAGCCGCAGCGAGACGCCACAAAATAGCCCCCTCCCTTCATCCCCTATTGTATCTTTGTCAAAGCCATCCAAACCTTCAGTTCCTCCACTGACACCTGAGCAGTATGAAATTTATATGTACCAGGAGGTGGATACGATAGAACTAACTCGTCAGGTCAAAGAAAAGCTAGCAAAGAATGGCATCTGCCAAAGGATCTTTGGGGAAAAGGTAAAGCACTGGTTCTCTCTTGTTACTCCATTATTTTGAATGTGCATTAGTCTCCTTATGTCATCAGTAAGGAACTAAGTTTAACACAACGATGCGTACGGAAAGGGATATGCCGCGTATGTGTTTAAAAATGTTTTTGCTTAGTATGTTAAGTGTTTTCAAAATAAGCTCACAAGGCAAAGTCTTAGCTTTCCCGTAGACTGGCTTCAGTTGCTTATAATTAGAAGTGGGGCCCCTGAGCTTAGAAACTTTGCAAGTTGGAGCAAGTATTACCAAGACTCAGTATTTCATGCTTAACGTACTGAATTCATGGAGTATTTGAGTAATGCCATTGTCATGACTGGAGAGTCTTAAATTTGTTGTAAGTGAAGATTACAGACACGAGCATTTTTCCTCTTTTAATATTTGGAAATATGCACAAGGGTATTAAAACAAACACACCAAAAAAATCCCCTACCCTCTCCTCAATCTTAAATCAAGAATTCCTAGTCATTGCTTCTGCCTGGTGTTCAGTATCTTAGTGTGCTTTCAGACGTTTTAAAGCCATATTGGATTATAGAATGCACCATGTATGATAAGTCTTTCTGAAGTTGTTGCATTCTGGGCTCTGAGCATTGAACATGTGGGAGCTCGGGGGGGTCGTGGTTAGATGGAAGAGCACGAGCAAACACCTTCCAAGCTGGGGAGGTGGTGGACATCTGGTGTTTCTCCTTCCGATAAAGAATTAAATCAGTATAATAGTATAATAGGAGCTAGCATTGCACTATTATCTTTTCAGTAAGATGTAAAATGAAAAGCCTGACCTCTTGGGGTCATTCTGGATCCCAGGACGGCTTTCATTAAGTCTGAATTTTAACCCCTGTACCTGTGCTGCATTCCAGGCAAGTAATTACGTTCTGCCTGTCTAAAATTCCAGCTGAGCTTCGGTCGGCTGTATTCTTAAACATTTACTTACGTGGGGCAGCCACTGCTACAGGTGAAAGCACACATCATTGTAATTCATACCCCAAAAAATCAAGCACATATAGGACTAGTCTCAAAAGTCCCAATTATTTTTGTTGGAGAACAAAATACATGACAATCATTTCCTGTTTTATCTACCTCTCAGTGCCTGGACTGTGTGCTTTTCCTTTAGACTTGATGAAATTTGACACAAAATATGAAAAGCATGCAAATCTCTCCCCATCCTTTTGGTGTTCGTACTGCCACTCTGTTCCTGCAGAGAGAGAAAAAAAAAAACATGCTCCAGAACAAAATCACGGCAGGAAAAAAGCAACTCAGTCGAAGCCCGTGTATGTGTCACTTTAAAGCTTTACTCCTTGTCAAGATACAACCCACTTGAACGATATGCAAGCAAAGAAAAGCAAAGTTACTTGAACTGCCCCCTTCCAAATCCAGTGTGTTAACGTGCCGTTCTTGGTTGCTTCACTTCAGGTATTGGGGCTGTCCCAAGGAAGTGTCAGTGACATGCTCTCCAGGCCAAAGCCATGGAGCAAATTGACACAAAAAGGCCGAGAACCATTTATTCGTATGCAGCTCTGGTTGAATGGTGAGCTGGGACAGTGTGTCCTGCCCGCGCAAGGGCAGCAACAAGGACAAGGTAATTAAAATTCCACTATGTTGTTTGAGTTGAGGAGGAGGAACTCGTTTTAAAGTTGCAGTAAGCAAGACTTCGACCCTACGTTAGTCGAGGCATTTATATAAGTGGAAGAGTCCACCCTCGCATCGCAGCCGGTTCTTAAGGGGACTCGCTGGGAATGTTTACAAAAGAAGCGCTCGTTTATGCGTAATTGATAAGCAGGAGTTATCGAGTCCCTAATTAGGATAATATTATTGAGGCATAAATATGATACGTAGTTCCAAAACTTTTGGCTAAAGCACTGGAAAGTCTTGCGTGCGGTTTTCTAGAGTCGTATAGGGGGCTTTATTGTCCCTAGGAGAATATTGATTGGTTTCTCAGGAGGCGAACGAGAAGAATTAAGCTTTAAAGGGGGAATGCAATGCTGCAATTACGCTTTTATTGTGGCTCGCTCTTATCCTAGTATCTATTGATACAGAAAGGCCAGACTAGAGTTGGCCTCGGCTGCGCCCTTAGAGCGCCACTGACTTGAAGCGAGCAGCGTGCCCTTGGGGCGCTCAGCCTTTTGCTGTTTGTTGAGCCTGCTTACTGTTTAGTTTGTGGTTTGGCATCGCCTTTTATTGTTCCCTGATTTTCCTCTCCTCTCTTATCTAGTCCTTCACTCTGTGACATCATTGCAGGATTCCCTACAGCAGGGATGTGCAAGCTCAGGTAATCAGCCGCTTTCGGTGATTTCCTCTGAAATAATGCTCTGTGCTTTTGTTACGTTTCTTTTGCTTTGATGCCGAGAGGTTTCTTGTGTTTTGTTGTATCACACCGGAAAACCTTCAATTTTTTTTTTTTTTTTAACACAGTTAATTCCTCGTTCTCTCCTTGTTGCTATGGCAGATCTGGGAAGTACACATATTTAGCCGCATATATTAAGCGAAGAGAGTCTGTCTGAGCTTAGAGTTCATTGGCTCCGCAGTTTTTTACCGTGGTTCAGCTTATCAACTTGACATGTGACAGTGGCTGTAAAACAAGCCTTTCGTTTGTAACGTGATCTCCGTGCTCCAGCTGCCTTATTTGCTGGCATATTTTTTTCCCACTTTCTTTTGCACAAAATACGCTTTGTTAACTTGAAGGTGGGGGAAAGACCACGTTACGTATTTCTTTTCCGACTTTGGTAGATGTTCCAAGCTGATCTCTTTTCTCCTCCCGCCCTTTCTATTTGCGAAAAAGCAGATGCAGCAAAGATGAGTGTCAAAGAAAAGCGAATTGCCAAAGATTTTGTGAAGATGGCCACAGCGTAGTAAGGAGACAGGAACAGAACAGCTGTGTTCCTGCTGTTAGATACCAAACTCTACCCACACAGTCTTTTTACCAATGATATGCTTAACTGAGGCAAACCACTGAGGCTGTTTTGTCCTCTAGAAAAATACTTGTGCCCTGCTCTGTACTTGTAGCCAGTGCCCTGTACTTGAGCATTACAGTAGCTCAAGATAAAGAGAAGGATGGATTGTGGTCGTCTTCCCACCTGTCTGCTGTTCTGAAGCATTGGTCTTTTCCGCAGCTCGTTGGGTTTATTCTGAATATCCCAACTGAACTATTTTTCCTCATTCTGCTGGGAAACGGTTTTGCATTCTCAAAGACTTGATGGGAAGCAAATCCATTATGATGTTCAGTCTGTGTTGTTCTCGAGAAGAACCGTTGAAAATAAATAGATAAAAGCAAAAATGCCCCTGGAAAAACCAGCCATGAAACTAAAACCAAAATTGGAGAAAATTATTTACAATCACAGGGCTATTGTTACTTATAGACAAGCAGTTAGAGAACATGGAAATTTCCTGAGACATTTTATACGCTGCTCTTCATTAAAAGCATGCATTGACGGGTGTTTTTGTATCATTAATGCTATGCAATAGTAACTGTTACAGTTATAAATGCCTAAGACCGCATGGAAAATAGGAGTAATTAATTAAAGCCATTTTAAGAGGAATTTGAAATTAGAGGAGCTGGGAGAAGGCTGCATTGTTATTGCAAATCATCATATTTATTTCTAACTGTAATTATAAAAAGGTTGAAAGACAAGCCCACAGTATTACAAACTGACCACCTTATGGATTCCCATGACGGTCACCAGCAGCTAAAAGTGATTTCCTTCAGGAAGTTCAGTTTCACTGCTGCGATATTTTGTTCCACTCCCACACTCCCCATCTCGTTCCTCAGTTCCTGCCCCGAGCTAATATTTTGTGAAGTGACGCCGTTCCTATCAGCTAATAAAATCATGTTATTGATGGTCGCTGTCCTTCTTCCCTTAAAGCAAACTTACAAATGAGAAAATGGGTTCATGCCCTTTTCTCCCTGCTTTCTGATGATTAAAAATAAAATTGTTTTGCAAGACGTTCTTCTCTTGATACCTTTCTCTGTGCAAAGGAATAAGTAGGGTTGTGGCATTACTCGGAATAAAAGAGCAAAACCATGTTATTTGAATGAGAAAGGGCAGTTTGGTAATTTGCCTTTATTAGCAGCTGTTCTGTAATTAAAAGCGCAGCAAACAGCTTGGTAAAGGTAAAAAATAATTATGCGTTTGTGAAAGATCCTCCACTCCAGGGCAGGGGGGAAAAAAAGCGCTCCAGTTTTCTGGTCTTCCAAGAACATTTCCCAGGAAAATCAAGGCAGAAAAGGTTACATACTTGTAATTTTAAAATAGAAATTATTCCGAACAGTTTTAAAATGAAAAAAGGTCTGGAGCCTTTTCTGCATAATATAATTGGCTAGGAACTTGTTGAATGCGTGAAGGGAAAGAAGTGAAATTAAACTAATATATCCAGTGGCTCCTGAGTGCTTTGCCAAGAAGGTCTTCAGTGTATAGAGTGTCAACACGCATAGTAACGTCTCCAGCTTTTATTAGCTGTGAGTATTTTCATTACTGTTTGGCATTATTATGCCAAACTAGCAGGATTTTCTGCATTTTTGACCCAGTTAGTTTCACTTCTAGATCACAAGGTTTTGATTAACACCTCATTCATGAGAATCTGTTCTTTTGTCCAGTAGTTTTCCATTGTCACACATGGACAGATGGGCATATCAGCCTTTTATATATAAAGAATATCAGCCTTTTGCATGTAAGAATGAATGGATAAACAGATATAGAGAGAGGGAATTTGAGGCAGCAAAGAGAAGCCAAGCTCGTTTTTTCTTCTTTCTCAAGCTATATTTCAGAATTTTCAAAAAACACAGTCAATACCAAAATTATAACCAGATATTTGTCTGTATTTTCTGTCTGTGAGCTTTGGTCATGGCTTTAGCGAGTAGAAGAGTTTTGTGCAAGTTCCAGTGAATGTGTTTTACAAAAAAATGGTGTCTGTACCCTGGGTGATTGAAGTAATATCACTGTGCCTTTTCTAATGTTTTTTCTGTATTTCTTTCCACCTAAATGCTCTAATGCCCTTGGGTAAATCTGCCTTTTTAATGATTTATGTGTCAAAAGCGTGGACAAAATCACATGGGAAAAAAAAGTTGAATTAGTGTCACCCAACTGCATCAGCATTTTTTCTTGATGAATTTGGCCCATATTTAGTTGCATTACTGATGGGCAGAGCTGGGTTGGGTTTGGATAGCAGCCACATGTCAGGAGAAGGTTTATGTGCTTGGGTGTTTTTTAAATACTTGTACTGTATATAGCTCTTGTGAGTTGGTTTTATTTTGGGGTCTTATATCTTTATCGAGCATCTGTATTACATTAAGACATAGTTTCTCTTTTGGTGCTGTTGATTTCAAAGCTACTCCCAGGCAAGCTGAATTTTTACTCACTTTTGTTATTTATCCTCTATGAAGGGCATATACTGTCTATATGCTACATTAAAGACTTGCAAATACTCAGTGGGAAAAAGACATGCCTTTTTGGTATGTGTTTCTGTAAGGGTCGTCTTATGACCTAATGTGGAAATCTTCATTTGCCGATACAGCTGCGGGTGATCTCAGGGGATTTTGAATTTCCCTTTTGTTTGTCTTCCTTTCTGGGTATCATCCATCATTCCTAACCTCATGCTGCTTAGCAATAGTAACGCTCATGGGAGTTGAAGAAAGGATTATAGCAGCATAAAATGGGGAGCTAATTAGAGCTTGTTTCAAAATCAGAATCTAGCTTGAGATAATTGCATATTATCTGGTGATTTAAAAACCCAAGATCTACTGTATTTAGATCAACTAAAATATGCATAAAAGCTTTATTTTCAAAATAAAGCATTTGTAACAACAGAGAGATTACTTCTTATCATCTCTTGGGAAAGAAAGCGGAAAAAAAAACAATGCAATCTATGGTTTAGTGTAGTTATGATTTTTTATTTTTTATTATGGAATGATGGCAGATCCAGATATCTGTTATATTTTTATTTATATAATACTTCCTCCTGTAATATCTTTCAGTGCAGAAGCTGCAGGATGGGCAGGTAGTTAACTGTGTACTGGGTAGATCTTCCTGTTTCTCTCGTAACAGAAGGATGCTGTCACATTTACTACTCTGGGAAAAACAAGGAGAGAGAGAGAGAGAGAGGATGTTTCCGTCTTGGATCCACTGCAATTCATATTCAGGATTATCATCCTGTTATCCTTAGGAAAAGATCTCACTAGCCACATGGTGGCAATGGAGAAAGCTCTAACCTTCCCTTCCCTCTGCATGTTTTATGATTATTTCCTTCATGGTACTTGTTTTGTATTGGAAGAGCATAATTGTCTGAGATGGTGCTCCGGAGCGTGATTCAGATTAGCACAAGGAGTGCTAAATGCTTAGTACCTTGAGATCACACAAATGGTCAGTGGTACTGACAGCTCTTCCCAAATTTGGGTTGTTTTATTTTGGAAGCAAAAAGAAGAAAGAACCTCTTTTGCTGTAATTTGCTGACACTTTAGGTTAATAAAGTTGTGTATGACTTGAAATGACTCTGGTGAATGTGGTCCATAAAATGGAAGAGAAGGGAGATCACTTGGCTTTTTAACAGCTGAGCTGTAGGACTGCAAGCGGTCCTTGCCTAGATAGGTTATATTTGGTGGCCGATTTTTGAGTTTTTCAGTTTTAGCTGAGAAGGTTGGCTCCTTTTGCACTAGATGCCAAGTACATTTCAGAAGTTTACTTGGAGCTGAACAACTAAGTCAGCAGAACAGTTATCTTCCTGCGAGCCCTAAAGCGTAATGAAGAGTCTTGGTAAAGTTTGCACATTCTTTGTGTGTGCTTGAGATTGCAATTCTGAAGCAGTTGGCCTGAGCTGTCTTGATTTCAAACCATAGGGTATCAGTTGGCTCCTCATAAGGGCAGCTGTTGTAGTCTGTCTGTAACGTGTGTGATTATATTCTGTGCCATTTCCCTGACATTTGGACCATGAAAACCTTCCTGGCAGCCTTTATGGTATCAATAGAGCTGGGAGAATCGCTGTCCAGGCACCTTACTGGGGCCTGGGAAAGCAAAGTGAAGTCAGTGTTTGCAGTTAGTTCTTAATATAACGTTGGATATCGTTGCTAGGTATCATCTGCTCGTTTCTGCCTGTTACCTAGGTCTGTCCTCTACAAGCTGCCTCACATGGCTGTAGTTCTTTGCCCATCCGTCGATATTTGAGGAGAAATTCTTGTCCTACTTGTATTTTTTTCTGCCCGTTGAACCACCCGGTGATTAAACTTGCATAAGATGATTCCATCCTCACCATGGTCATAGCTTTACTGTTAAAAAAAGTGCT